GGCCAATCCAGGTACCAGTTGATGAATGGGTATTTTCATTTCTCCATGAAAAGGAATGAAGTACTGACACTGGAACATGAACTTTGAAAGCTCTGTGCTAAAGACCGTCTGGTCACAAAGCATCACTTATTACATCACATTACATTTGTATGACGTGTCCAGAGTAGGCACGGGATCAATGGGGGTAGAAAGTAGATTCGTGGTTCCCTGATACCGAGGGGCTAGAGAGTGGGGGGTGATAGCACTGGGTTTCTTCCTGGGCGGATGAAAGCGTTCCACAATCGATTGCGGTGGTTACATGAGTGTGAATATATTAAAGCAGGGAGCTGTCCCTCCATGTGCTGTGATGGCCGCCACCTGACACCGACCCCACCACATGCTGCTGCTGACGCAGGGCACCTGGAACGGTGATTCGTTGCTGGTGGGACCAACATGGTGTGGTCGCTTCAGAAGGTAGTTTCAGGTTTTTACAGAAGGGAACATACTCTCAGGTGCTGTGAGTCCCCAGTCCCCCTCGGTGCACACCTGAGTGAGCTGAAAGCCCATGTCCACACAGGAGCGACTTGATTGATGACTGGCCGGGACTTGGGAGCCGGGCAGAGAAGCTGGCGCGTCCAGGCAGCAGAACATCATTCAGCCTGAGCAGGAGATGAACCTTCAGGGGAATGAAGCTGCCTCGAAAAGACTGTGTCATGCATGGTTGTGACATCCTGGGAGAGGCACAGCGTGGGGACAGTAGTGGCTGCCGGCTTTCGGAGGGAAGGAGGGAAGGAGGGATGGACAGGCGGAGGCAGCGGAACCAGTGGGTGCGCCCTCCAGGGGCGGCTACAGCTTCCTCGTGTAGACTGCGGGCAGGCCTGTCCTCACGGGCTCGGTGGTTATAACCAGTGCCGGGCGAGGGGGCGCGGGCAGGGAGTGCATGGAAACTATGTTCTGCTCAGTTTTGGTGTGCAACCTAACTTGCTCTAAAAAATAAAGTTTATTTAGAAAAAAAGTCTGAAACTTGTTTCAGAACGGTATGTTGTGGAATGCAGGTGAGTGGGCGGGCTAGGTTGCCTGTAGGTTGTGGGTGCTGGTGGTGGGTGCGTGAGGCTGTAATCCTAGCTTACGTCTGGCAGGGTAATGTCCCCACCTTACTCAAAATTATTACAGTGGGTTTTTTTTTCTTTTTTTTTTTTAACATTTATTTTTGAGAGAGGGAGGGAGAGAGACTGTGAGCAGGGAGGGGCAGAGAGAGAGAGGGGGACACAGAATCTACACCAGGCTCCAGACTCTGAGCTGTCACCACAGGGCCTGATGCGGGACTTGAACCCCACAGACTGTGAGATCGTGACCTGAAGTCAGATGCTTAACTGACTGAGCCACCCAAGCTTCCTTACAGGTTTTTTTTTTTATTATTAATTAAAACAATTTTTATAATGTTTATTTTCAAGAGAGAGGGAACATGTATGTGAGTGGGGGAGCACAGAGAGGTACAGAGGATCCGATGTGGGGGCTCCGCACTGTCAGCAGAGAGCCCGACACAGGGCTCAAACCCACAAACTGAAATCATGACCTGAGCTGAAGTCAGACACTTAACCGACTGAGCCACCCAGGTGCCTTTACGGTGTTGTTATTAAGCTGCTTATTGTGGAAAACTTTACAATGTGTACGAGAGTAGACAGAATAGTACGAATACTGCTGTGTTTAGACAGCATCGTATTGGCAGGACAACAGAGCATTTTTATAGAACAGAAGTGCCATCATCAGATTCTCATGTGTCTGGAAACGTGATATACGACAGTGTTGTAAAATTGGGAGAAGCCCAGGACGGTGGGCATAAAATGGGGAGCACGTGAATAGAACAGGTAGGCCCCTCCTCCCCACCTGAATGGCCCCGAGCGTGAGGGCTGACGCCGGTACTGTGGTGTCGCCGTGGACACCTGAAGCCGTCACGTGTATTAATGATCTCAAAGCCAGTGTTGAGACTTGGAGGAAATTAGATGAAGAATACGGTGCTGTGAGACCATTGAGGTTTGAAAACCTGTAACAGAGCAATGGTATAAAATATGTGTGGTAATGATCCCTCCAGATTCCTGATGGATGTTACCTCGGAGGGAAGTAGGGCATTTGCCATGTTTTACTTCTTAAAGTTAAAAAGAAATGGAAGCATATGTAGCAGTAATATTAACAACCAATAAAGCCTGGCTACCTGGCCGGCTCAGTCCCTGGAGCCTGAGGCTCTGGATCTCGGGGTTGAGAGTTCAAGCCCAGGTTGTGTGCAGATCTTACTTAAAAATAAAATCTTAAAAAAAAAAAAAAAAAAAGATGAAGCCAGGTGATAGGTGTCTATTATGTAATTCTGTGTAATTGTATGTTTGAAATACTCTGTAAAGTGTTAGTATGTCCAAGTGAAATGTCTTCTTTGGCTCCTGATTCATACAAACTTCAAACAGACATCTCTGTGGCAGTTGGAGGGGCTTTACTGCACCGGGTACTGGGTTGTAGTAAACAAACAGTGGTGAATTTGTTGGTGTGACCGTGGCGCCGCGTGTGTGTAAGAAAATGCTGTTGTTTTTAGCGACACATGTAGTGTGTTAGGGGACGGGACGTTGTTTCTGGGACTCAGTTTTAAAATACTTCAGAGAAAAAGGATGGTTGAAATAAATGTGGCAAAGTCTTGATAATTGGCGTATCTTGGTGATAGGTACTATCACCATAGATTGTACTATATTCTCAAGTTTGGAGTGTGTTTGGAAATCTTTATGATTACATCTACAAAACCCAAATGAGTAAATAACTGTTCTTTATTATTATTTTAAAAGTTTTAATGTTTATTTTTGAGAGAGAGAGAGACAGATCATGAGCAGGGGAGGGGCAGAGAGAGAGGAGACACAGAATTTGAAGCAGGCTCCAGGCTCAGAGCTGTCAGCACAGAGCCTGATGTGGGGCTTGAACTCGTGAACTGTGAGATCATGACCTGAGCCAAATTTGGATGCTCAACCGACTGAGCCACCCAGACGTCCCAATATCTGTTCTTTAATAATAAGTTGTACCACTGGCAGATTTGAAATGTTTTGGTACAGAAAATTAGGTTTTCTAACTTTTAACTTCTGTCTGTTTTCTCACTTAAAGATGTGTGTGTATGTACGTATATGTACACATATATGCATACATATGCAATATGTAGCATATAATATAGACTTAGGTAAATACACATAAGGTCAGTCAGGAACAGCATTTGACCGAGTCTTCCTCCAGGCTGTCTGTGCGGAAACGTGCCACAGATTAGCATTTAGGTTTGGCATTTGCAGTTTTTCTGTTCATAGTGACACCGCGATAGCGTCTGTAGCTCTGGGCGATTTCCAAGAAACAACGTGTCAGGGTGACTCCGCGGAGGAGGGGTGCGCATGTGGACTTGAGCCTTGACAGAATTGTTCTCAGAAATGAACCGAGTATTCCAAGATCATGCTTTCCCTTTTATTTTACAAAAATATTTGTACACTCAGAACATGGAGTTGTCACACGCACACCTTTTCTTTTGTGGCTCCGTGTGTTTTGTCTCAGGGTCATTCCCACACATCTACCACTGTGTCCCAGGGGTCCGGCTTTCCTTCCGGATTCTTTAGATAATTACTTTCTGTAATTAATATTCTTGTAACTTTTCTTTGGCTAATGTTTCAGGGTATTTTAATAGTAGTGACAAAGCAATGGGAAACTGAGGCTGAGAGAGAGAGTAACGATTTCTTAAAACAACTTCAGTTACGAGTAACATGACAGGTGTTTCCCCTGTTGCTCACACTACCAGGCTGTTAATTCCTGTGCGCTTGATAATAAAAGTGCCTCAGTTTTATTTATTTATTTGATTGTTTCCAGTACTTAGAAAGCCAGGCAGAGAAGTATTGCTGCCGACACGGCTTGGGGGCCGTGTGACTCCTTAGGTCCCTGCCACTGGTGATCGAGGTAGAGTCTAAGTCAGACTGTCCTGCTGGCCGGTCAGCTCAGGTACTGTGTTCTCTGAAGGAAATTGACGACTTTGCATGTAGGTCAAGGGTCCTTCTGCATAAATGTATCTGAACTTCTAGACGGGAAAAGTGAAGAGGCCGACAGCGGCAAGGCCAGGAAAGCTTTGTAAGAATGTGGAGCTAATGCTGTGTGTAAAATCCTCTTCCAAATCAGAAGAAAGACTGTTCATGAGAAGCACAGGTAGAGGATGTCACTGTGGGAGAAACATGGACGTTAATCAATGTAATAAAAAGATAGCTTCACTACTGGTAGAGAAATACAGATGACAGCTGTCACTGTTCTGTCCCTGCCGTGTTGGTGGGATTTGGGACAGTGGAAGATAGTGACTGTAGGTAAGTGCGTAGGGACCAGAAACGGCCCTGAACGCTGTGGGGATGCTCATGGTCTGAAGGGCCATGTGGCTCCCATCTCGGGCTCCCGTAGGCCTACGTCTGTCGTCACCTCGCTGGGTCAGCTCGGTAGGGAAGAGGTGGCAAAGGGCTGCAGAGAAAGCTAATCCTGACTTGTGGAAATCCTTGGTCTTGTAGCTGCCGTGTGCTCCGGCTTCCTTTTCTCCTGCATTAATCGTGTCTCGAATGTTCCCCTTGTGCAAGTGTTTTACTCCTGAGCATTTTCGGTACATTATTTTTCACCAAGGCCTTCTAAGATAGGTGTTTTTATCCCCGTTTTGTAGATGTGGGAAATGAGGCCAGACAGGTTAAATAAGTTGATTAGCCAGTGAGTGAAAGAGTCTAAATTTAGCTTTAAAACTACGGCTGTAATCACCGTCTGGTTGGATAATGAATAAGAAATGGATGTGTGATGCCCTGCACACCTGGAGTCTTATCTTTATTAAAATAATTTGGTTCTCTAAGTTAACTAACATTAAACGTAATGCTTAATTCCATCATTAGACTGTAATATTATAAACGGGACGTGCTATTTCTTCCTTGGGTTGGATGTCAGCCTGTGGAGCGCGGCCCCTTTGTTAACGGACAGGCCTTTCCCTCCCCCAGAGGACCTGAAGAGGCAGAACGCGGTGCTGCAGGCGGCGCAGGATGACCTGGGGCAGCTCCGGACGCAGCTGTGGGAGGCCCAGGCAGAGGTGGAGAACATCAAGGCCATCGCCACGGTCTCGGAGAACACCAAGCAGGAGGCCATCGACGAAGTGAAGAGACAGTGGAGGGAGGAGGTCGCTTCCCTCCAGGCTGTTATGAAAGGTAAGGACAGAGCCCTCCGTCTGCTTTGTTGTTTCCCGACCACGCTGGTGCGGGTGACGGACGTTTTCGGAGGGTCGTAAACCATGTCTTGAGCTCTGCTCGTGGCCTTGTGTGTTCCCACCGTCACCCTGAGGACAGCAGGGCCGCCAGTGGTGCTGCGACAGCGGTGTCCTCCGTCCTCAGCAGGCGGGTTCTCTGCGGAGCCGGGCTCTGCATGGGTGCAGGGAGCGCGCCGCGCAGAGAACCTCCACGCGAGGCCTCCGGGCCCTGCTTCCCCTCGCGGCTCCCCGCGGATTACCCCCCACCCAGTCCATGTGGCCGGTTTCACGTCATCGGGAACGGCCTGGCTTTGGCTGGGACTCTTTGCGGCCGTCTCTGCAGCCGAGTGCCTTCATGGCCGTGACCCTCGCACCATAGAAGAGCAGCGGGCTTGCGTCTGTCTGCTGTCCACACTAGTGCTTGGTCACGGCCTGCATTTCTCAGATGACAGTGACCCAAGCCAGGCCACCCCTGAACCCTCGAGTTCCTGCAGTCAGTTCAGTTACTGTCAGAGACGTGAACTACGACGACTTTCTCCCTGTGTTTGCGCTCGTGTCCTGTTTCCCTCGTGCCCCCGAGAGGTGGCAGGACCACCGCCCACTGCCTGTCTGGTGGCTGTCACCCAGGGGTGGGCCCCAGGGTGTCACCAGTGTCCTGGGCTCCTTTGGTCTTTCTCCTCCAGCCATAGCGTATGGTTTTCACCTCTGTTCTTCTCTGAACACCGGCTGCTCTCCCTCCCTGTGCCGCCAAGCAACAGACATTCTCGAGAAGTCTCGGCGGTGCCCCCTCACAGCCCCTGACGTGTGTGGTTACCCTCAATTACAGAGGCAGCCGGAAATCTTGTTCGTAAAGTGGGCCACAGACTTCCTGGACGGAGTTGGGGTTCTGTTGTTCGGGAAGCGGGGGCTGGAAGTTAACGGACACGGTGTCTGTCCTGTGATGTGTTGAGATCACATTAAAGTCATGTAATAAAGACCTTCAGAATTTGTCTCAGTTTAGGATCCTGAGTTACAGGGAAGTACCCCGAGCCGCACCCCTCCTCTCTCACGCCCCGGTAGCGGGGTGGGGTGACAGGCCGGGTCCCAGGAGCCGTAGTGCCGTGTGGGAGCAGAGGCCTGGCTGCCGGCGGCCTCCGTGCGGGACGCCGGCCCTGCGGCTCTCTGGCTGCGGAAGGGTCGCGGGCCGGAGGGTTTCTTCCTAGGTTTTCTTCATCCGCAAGTGAAGGGACGTCACAGGCCCGTCGTGAGGGGCAGACGTGGGTCACGGCCCTCACGAAACTTCTGCCCGTAATAACCAGAAACCTTGCTTGAGTTTTAGTTGTGGGTTTTTCTTTTTTTTTTTTTTTAATGAATTGGAAGATTTCCAGAAACCAGGCGTAAGGCGTTTCACGCAGCTCCCTCCACACCCTGGGTGTGCCGGCCCGCCCGGCGCTCAGGCCTGCGCTCCCCGCTGCTGTTTTCTAGAGACGGTGCGCGACTACGAGCACCAGTTCCACGTGCGGCTGGAGCAGGAGCGCAGCCAGTGGGCGCAGTACCGCGAGGCGGCCGACAGGGAGCTGGCCGACCTGAGGCGCCGGCTGTCCGAAGGCCAGGAGGAGGAGAACCTGGAAAACGAGATGAAGAAGGTACGACGGAGCGCCTCCCGTGTGCGGGGCTGTTTGGTCGCACGGCTGAACGTGGGGACGCGGGGCCAGACGGCCTGCGTCGCCGACCCCAGACGTGTGCGCGGCGCACCCCTCCCCCTTCGCCTCCTGAGCCGTGTCTCCGCGGCAGCAGGCCCGCCCTGACCTCCCGGTGCGCATGCGCGTGCGCGCGGCAGCGTGAGCTCCGTGCGCCCTTGTGGATTTGGGTGCCCTGCGGGCCCACGACAGCGCCTAGCACGCGCCTAGCACGCGGGGGTCACAGATAGTTACAGGAGCGTAGTCGCCAGGTGAGCGTGTCGAAGCTGGGCCTTCAGAGCGGGTGTTGCCTCTCCGCGTCCCTCCGTTCTCCCCCCCCCACCGTGTGCGGGCCGAGCGCATGCGCGGACGTGGCCCGCAGGAGGCCTGAGCAGAGCGCGATCCTTACGAATGTTGTGAAAGGTCTTTGAACTTTATTATAGTGTGTCCACACATATATTTTAAATCGCATATTACACATAAAATAATAACTAGAATTTGACTTTTTATTGCATTGGTATTAATCATCTTTGGTTCCTAACCCTTGGTCCATACAAGGACTGCTTTTGTGTGTTTAGAAGGTGATTTCGTTTTTTTTTTGTTTTTTTTAAATATTTTTTATTTATTTCTAGGAGAGAGAGAGAGACAGCGTGAGCAGGGGAGGGTCAGAGAGAGAGGGAGTCACAGACTGAAACAGGCTCCAGGCTCTGAGCTGGCAGTCAGCACAGAGCCCGACGCGGGGCTCGAACCCACGAACCGCGAGATCATGACCTAAGCGAAAGTCGGATGCTCAACCAACTAAGCCACCCAGGCGCCCCTGTGATTTCGTTTTTATAATAACATAAAAATCATCTGAGAACCCGATACCCAAAATAGAAGCTTTAAACACGGAGAATCGTTTTATCCATTCCATCTTCTTCCAGGAGAAGACTGTAACTCCGCCTCTTCTTGAGGGTCTGGCGCACCTTCCTCACCTCTAGAGCCACTGGGCCATCTAAGAGTTGTCCACAGCCCCTCCTGTGGGCTGTTCTAGATGGTTCCTATCCGATGCTGTCACTGGAAATTCCATTCCAGCCAGAACAGGAGATCCTTGTTTCCAGTCTTCTAATATGTCCACATGATTTTCAGTCTGCCGCTTTTTGTCACTTTTAAAATGTATTTTTATTTTTAAAATAAACCTGGGGTGCCTGGATGGCTCAGTCACTTAAGTGTCCAACTCATGATTTTGGCTCAGGTCTTGATCTCCTGGTCCCCATGGGCTCTCGCTGAGCCCCATGTCAGGCTCTGTTGACATCGTGGAGCCTGCTTGGCATTCTCTCTCTCTCTCTCTCTCTCTCTCTCTGCCCCTCTCCTGCTTGTGCCTGTGTGCGCACATTCTCTCTCAAAATAAATAAGCACTAAAAAAAAAGTAAAATAAACTTTTATTTTTTAGAGCAGTTTTTGGTTTACAGAAGGAGATTGTGAAGACAGTAAGGAGTCCCGCATACCCACACTCAGTTTGCTCTGCTCCCGGCTCTTGTGTTAGTGTGGTGCATCGTCACTAGTATCCAGCTTTGATTTTTGTTAACCAGTGTCCATTCATTTTCGTTCACGTTTCATTAGTTTTTACCCAATGTCCTGTCATCCAGTTTAAAGATCTCGCACACCGCACCACATTGCATGACACCATGTGTCCTTTAGGCCCCTCTCGGCCCACATTTTCCATGTTGTTTTAAAGAATAAACCTAAAAAGGTGACTAATAAAATGCAATACGTAGCCATAAAGACAGTTATAAGAACATTCATAGAAGAAGGCAGTTTCCTTATTTTTTTGTTTGTCAAAAATGAAAATATAATAAACACCGTAGTTGATACAGAATTCTTGAAAGCCATTTCTCTGGAAGATGAAGCACAAGCCTTTACATTTTCCACTTAGTGTGACCCTGAAGGTATGGCCTTGGCAGTTAAGCAATAGAAAAGAAGTAAGTCAAAAAAAAAAAAAAAAGAGAAAAGTCATAGGATCAACTTTTAATCCATAAAATCATTATATGTGGATGACACTTTCTTTTCGTTATTGTTATTCTTGTTTTTATTTTTTATTTTTTTTTAAGGTTTTTTAAATTTATTTCTAGAGAGAGAGAGTGAGCAGGGGAGGGCCAGAGAGAGAGGGAGTCACAGACTGAAACAGGCTCCAGGCTCTGAGCTGGCAGTCAGCACAGAGCCCGACGCGAGGCTCGAACCCACGAACCGCGAGATCATGACCTAAGCGAAAGTCGGACGCTCAACCGACTAAGCCACCCAGGCGCCCCTCGTTATTGTTATTCTTGATCTAATTTTTTAAACTTTAATTCCGGTACACGCGGCATTTTTGGGTGTGCTGTGCAGTGAACCCGCACTTCATACGTCACTTGGTGCTCGTCGTGACAGATGCACCCCCTAATACATTTTCCTTGATTTTTGTTTTTTATGTTGGTATTTTTCTTTTTGGAGAGAGTGTGTGTGCAGGTGCATGGGGGGGAGGGGCAGAGGGGGAGAGAGAGAATCTTAGGCAGGCTCCGTGCCCAGTGTGGGGGCTAATGCAGGGCTCGATTCCATGACTGTGAGATCATGACCTGAGCTGAAATCAAGAGTCCGATGCTCAACCGACTGAGCCACCCGGGCGCCCCATAGTTTATGTTTTTAATAACTTTTGTTTATAATGGTTGCAACACTTAATTGTGGGGTCATTGTTGCATCATTAAATAACGCAGTCTATGTTAAATTCTTTGCTTCTTCCCTCCTTTTTTCCCCCCTCTGCTGTTTATTATCAGCACAGCAGATCTGTAAGTATCCCAAGTTAGCCTAGGCAGAAGATGTTTTAAGCTCATATGTCTTTTCCAGACAGTACTTAGTTAAAAATAAAATAAATGGTTAAAAGACTTTGTAAGGACTGAAAAACAAAGTGAATCCCTTTTTTCTGAGAGCGATGTATTTTGGGGAAAAGCCCCATGCATATTTGGGCATATATGACATTTTTCCTATCACAAACATGGAGGATGAATTTGAGCTCTTCTAAATTTAGAGAATAAGGTCAATTTTTATTTTCACTAGAAGGGAAAAAGCTAAGTTTTAAGTCTGCCTTTGTTTCTGTGTATATATACACACATGCATACACACACACATATACCCCGTATATGCACATACATGCATACGTGCATATACACGTATACACGTACATGCATAAGTACATTTACGCACATACACACATATACACATATGCACATGTGCACACACAGACACAATATACATATATATGTTATACGATATACGCATAATAGTTTCTCACCAGTTTACTAATTTATGGATGTTATTTTCTTTTAATCCATGTTTTTGAGACTGAAGGGTAGAGAGCAATATAGTTTTAGGGGTCATTCTTTGGGTTTGTTTCATTTAGATATCAAAAGTAAAATAATATTTAATTTTTTTTAATGTTTTATTTCTGAGAGAGGGAGAGAGAGAGAGAGACAGCATGAGCAGGGGAGGGGCAGAGAGAAAGGGAGACACAGAATCTGAAACAGGCTCCAGGCTCTGAGCTGTCAGCACAGATCCCGACACCCCTATCTTAGTTATTTTAAGAGTTACTTAAATATTATTGGGGCACCTGGGTGGCTCAGTCAGTTAAGTCCAACTTTGGCTCAGGTCATGATTTCACGGTTCACAAGTTTGAGTCCCGAGTTGGGCTCTGTGCTGACAGCTCAGAGCCTGGAGCCTGGTTTGGATTCTGTGTCTCCTCACTCTCTGCCCCTTCCCCACTCATTCTCTGTCTCTCAAAAAATGAATAAATGTTAAAAAATTTTAAAAAAAAATAAGATGGAAGCTCTTTAATAGCAACATAATTTTGTAACATTTTAGAAAATCTGTTCTATTTTTTTTATGTTTCTAAACTAATCAGAGCTTTCATCCAACCATTTCGTAAGAAATTATGGCTTTGTGAATTTAGTTAACTAGAAGTATAAAAATTAAAGTGTTATATGTATTTCCTTTTGTATCTGGGGTGTTTTCCAGTTTAATGAATTGATATGAGAAATCAAAGTTGTCATAGTGAATCCATTTTCCTACCCAGTCCCAATTTCTAAGTGGAACATCTGGGAAAATTGGTGATGACTTGACCTTCAGAGTCTTAGAGCGCTGGAAATCAGACGTGGTCCGGTCTAATGCGCGCTCATACAGTACCTGGTGGGCTTCCTTGCGCTCAGTCTAATGACCTGTGAGTCGGTTTCTCAGAAAAGCAACGAACCAGTAAGTTGTAGCCCTTACTTCTTTTTTAACTGTAGGCGCAAGAGGATGCTGAGAAGCTTCGGTCTGTTGTGATGCCCATGGAGAAGGAGATCGCGGCTCTGAAAGAGAAGCTGACGGAGGCTGAAGACAAGGTTAAGGAGCTGGAAGCCTCAAAGGTTGTGAGATGTTGCAGCCCCTTCCTTGCGCCCAACCCCCTGGCCTAGCGCTGTGAGCCACGTTAGGGTCCCGGAGGAGCAAGCCTTGGCATTCACATTGGGCCTCCAGAGCATCTTGGTTTCTTTAAAATACAAAAGAAAAAGAAAAAAAAAGGTTGGAGACAATTCCGGATGGATGGTCTAATCCCAGTAGCGGTGCTCGCAGCTGCTACACTGCAGTGTTAGTGTTCACTCGCTTGTCAGAACGAGCCCTGGACTCCTCTGTTTCCTTGTTGAGGAAGATGAGTTGTTCCAAGTTGACTTTGTTCCCTGAAGCTGTCCCAGTACTGATGTCTGAAAGATGATGTGGTTAGAGTGTGGCTGGGTTTGCTGGCCGTAAAGACACAGCAAAGGGAATAGAGAGGGAATGTTGATAATTTTAACAATTAATTGAAAGTAGGAAAAGAAAAAAAATAATTTAAAAAAGGCAATAAACAAAAGCACAGCATAGGAATGTGGAAAGGGGAGTGTGTCCATGTTAATAAGTGTAAACAGATAATCACCTACTGAAAGATGGGATTTTATTTATCTTATTTAAAAAAAAATTTTTTTAATGTCTTTATTTTTAGAGACAGAGACAGAGAGCGAGCGCGGGAGGCTTAGAGAGAGAGGGAGACACAGGATCTGAAGCAGGCTCTAGGCTCTGAGCTGTCAGCACAGAGCCCGAATGGGGCTCAACCCCACAGACTGTGAGATCATGACCTGAGCCAAAGTTGGACGGTTAACCAACTGAGCTGCCCAGGTGCCCCTAAAAAAAGTGTTTCAATAGTTTGTTTATTTATTTACTTATTTATTTCTGAAAGAGAGAGAGAGAGAGACAGTATGAGCAGGGGAGGATCAGAGAGAGAGGGAGACACAGAATCTGAAACCGGCTCCAGCCTCTGAGCTGTCAGCATAGAGCCCGACACGGGGCTCGAACCCACGAACCGTGAGATCATGCCCTGAGCCGAAGTCGGACCGTTAACTGACTGAGCCGCCCAGGTGCCCCTGAAAGATGGGATTTTAAAAAACCTAAATTTATATTGCTTATAATAGATGCACCTAAAATAAAACTACAAGACCGAAAATAATGGGATATTTGAAGATACGCCATGTAAGTTCTGAGCAAAGGAACGTTGATACAGCAGTTGTGATATGAAGCCTTTAGGATGTAAAGGAAAGAAGAACAGAGAGAGGGACCCCATCCATCGGTAGGACAGGACAGTCATGATTGAATGCACCTTGCATACCTTGAAATATGTGAACTAAAAGGGACAATTAAGGGGAAACTAACACTCCCAGTTGTAGTAGGAGCTTGAAGCTGATGTTTAGCAAGTGACCGTGTAAGCAGGAAAAAATGTTAGGGATGTGGGGGCTTTGAGTAGCCAGATGACTGATTTAGATGCAACAGACACAGAGTCCTGGAGCCCAGGAAGCGGGACTGCGTCTCCTGCAGTCGGAGAGCGGAGGGGTTTGCAGCTCAGCGGTGCTCGGCGGGGGGCCTCTGGCAGAGCAGTCTGCCTGTGTTCGGTTGTCTCAGCTATAAAATTGACAACACGCCTCGGAAGGCTGTTGTCAGGATTACAGAGACCGCTTACGAGAGCGCCTGGGACAAAGTATTGTGACTTTTACGTACGTTGTATTTTTCATAGTGACACAAAGGAAGCGTCAGCACATTTTGAAGGATTGTTATGCAGACTGAACTCTCTGATGACGGGTTATTATTTACAGTAAAATGGTAACTAAGATAAAATCTCTGGAAATGGGGAAAATCATGGAAAAAGGAATTCTAAAATACTGATTTGAGTATTTTACTCAGGAATCTAAAAACTGAACACTAGTACAATGTGAATACTAGGAAGTAGATATTCCTAAGAGCAGATATTAGTGAAGGAGAAAAGCAGAAGGGAACTTGAGAATGTCAGCACAGTGCGGAAATGAGAAAGCTAGGAAGATAGATAAACGTCCGAAAAGACTGATCAGGAAGACGGAAAACAGACCGTCAGGAAGGAGGACGGGACCGAACTCTGGGTCAGTAGCTCTTCTCTGAACGGTGTCACATCAGTGCGTTTCAAAGGAAGGGAATTTGGTTAAATGAAGACCTTTCTTTTTTTCTTTTCTCTCCTTTTTTTTATGTTTATTTTGAAGGCGAGAGAGTGGAGGAGAGGCAGAGAGAGAGAGAATCCCAAGCAGGGTCTGTGCTGACAGTGCAGAGCCCGACACGCGGCTCGAAGTCACAAACGGTGAGATCCTGAGCTGAGCTGAAACTGGGAGTTGGACGCTCCGCCAGCAGAGCCCCCGGGCGCCCTGGAGCTAGTAACTGTTACAGAAGGTGCCTCTTAAGTTAGATTGATAGTCACGCTTCCTTTCTCCTGTTTCCGCTCCTCAGAAAGACATTAGGCTTTTGCAGGCAAGTTTTTCCAAACCTGGAAAGAGGCGATCCTTATATTTTACAAAGTGTGTGGAAAACCCTCCTGCAGATTTTTTGAGACCTGCATAATTTTGTCACAGACACACAGAGGGGTGGTAGAAGGAACGGCAATCTATATCCATCTCATTTAGGAACATAGAAACACAAACTCTCAACAGTGTAGTTAAAAAAAAAAAAAAAAGAAAAGCAGCATAACTAAATAGGACCTATTTCGAGGAATCTAAGGAGGGTGTGTCACCAGAAAACCGTTAGCAGCACACGAGAAGGTGGTAGGGAGCAGGCTAACCGTCCCCAGCTTGTGAGTCCACCACAGATGGGTCGCGTATACCCACTGTTGGAACCTACGACACCTCGCAGTTTCAGCGGCCACTGTCCGGTTGGAGCCCCAGTTGATGAATTTGGGGTCCCTGGGGTCGTCCCTGCCTGCTGTGGCCCCACACTCTCCAGCTCTCACTTCGTTTTGTGTGGATGTCTGTGTGATCTTGGCTTCGTTTCGTGTCAGGGCAGATGGAATTCATAGAAATTCACATAGTGTGGCACCTTTTACCCAGGGTTCTGCTTAGGAGCTTTCAGAGGTTAGAGACTCATTCATTACTAACTGAGTCAGATATTTGCGCTAAGTGGTAGTCGTAGGTGTTAGTGGTTGTAGAATTAGTAGTAGAATAATGAGTAGAATTAGTGGCTGTACACCACCATCGTGGGTCTGCACACTGACTCCTTGTCCCCAGCTGGAGTCCCCCTCTCCAGTGACAGGGACAGGCCTCACGGCACTTGGCAGTTTGTCACACCAGCTTCACATCTTTCATCGGTGGCAGCCACAACAGTCACTTCAGCCTGGGAACGAGCAGTGCTGATGTCAAGTTCACTGGAAACAGGTCAGCCAGCGTTTTGAAGTCTGAAGAAGCAGGAAGTAAACAGGCATGGAAGCGACCTTGAAAGTGAAGTTAGACATAACTGTCAGGAACAGCTGACACGACCAGCCAGAACTTACGATGACCGTTTATAAGACAGAGCACAAGGAGGGATTCCGTGCTCACTGTCTGGGGCAAGACTGTATTTTACTCTGGTCGTAATTGTTTCACACGTTAGAGTGTCTTGTTAATATTTGAGTATTATAGTTAATTGTTAAACAGAAACAAGGCATTTCTTAAAAGATATGATTTTAGGGGCACCTGGGTGGCCCAGTTGGTTAAGCGCCCCAACTCCTTGATTTCAGCTCAGGTCATGATCTCACAGTTTGGCGAGTTTGAGGCCCATATTGGGCTCTGTGCTGACAGTACAGAGCCTGCTTGGGACTCTGTGTTTCTCCCTCTCCCTGCCCCTCCCCCACTCATGCTCTCTCACCCTCTCAAAATAAACTTAAAAGATGTAATTTTAAGAAATATTCCACACTTGCCTCCAAGTTTGTTTATTACTGTGTGAGACTAGTTATTTTTTCCATCATCACTTTCTCTTTTTTCTTTCCAAAATATGTGCCTGTGAAAACATGTCCTTTTTATAATTTTAAGGCATTTGGAATTTCCTCCCCAGAAATCAAAGAACAGCAAATTTATAGGAGTGCAGTACTGTTTTTATCTTTACAAATTAACTACTGTTTGTCAGAGAGCCCACAGCAACTGGGTGTGACCGAGTGTCATGCAGGGAGCACATGCGCAGAGCCCGTGGGGGCACTGGTGACGCTGCCTTTATGCAGAGCGAGGCCCTGGAGGGTCCCGTGTAGCGTCGGTTCTGTGTTTGCCCTGGGGACACGATTATGAACAAGATCAGTTTTCTATAGCAAGTGTGCATGTGCTCTAATTAAAGGTTACCTTTAACCTTTTAAATTTACGTAAGTATACACACAAATTATTTTCAAGGCACATTCAGAACGCACTCACTTATTTCAGGTAGAAACTATCGTAAGTTTTAGTTCACTAGAATCGCATTGCGTTTCAGGTTAAGGAGCTGAATCACTATCTGGAAGCTGAGAAGTCCTGCAGAACGGACCTGGAGATGTACGTCGCCGTCCTGAACACTCAGAAATCTGTTCTCCAGGAAGATGCCGAGAAACTTCGGAAGGAGTTGCACGAAGGTACCTACGAATCCTGTGTGCTTTTAGTCTCAGTCTCTGAGAAGACGAGCAAATCGAGAGTCAGCATGTTCGGGGCTCACTTTACACTTGGCAGTTGGTTGAATGTGCTCCTGAGGAGCTGGAGCCCTGAGGGCTCCCGAGCATGCAAGCTGTTAACGGAACAGCTTCCCATAGCGTGAGCTGTGGGTGGAAAGACAGGAGGCCTGGGAATTTCTGCTTCACCTGCTTTTGCCCCCAGACCCGTTGGGATGGAGGTAGTTCAGCAAAAGTGAAAACGGGACGGGAGGGCAGGCAGCGTACTGCAGGGCCTCAAGAAGCATCCCTGTGTATAAGGGACAGTTTGGTTGCACTAGGCTGGCAGCAGAGACATACAGAAATTGGCTCTCTTTCCCCTGGCCTGGGGAGGAGGCTTCTCTTTTCCCCATTAAAATAAAGATTCACTTCTTTCTGTCTTTAACTCTGCTAGTGAGTCTTAATTACTGGGGTTCTTAACCTTTTGGTGTCGCGGACTTCCTCGGCAGTCTTGTGAGCCCCTCTTAGGATCATTTTTTTAATCCCTAAAATATAAAGAAGAAACCACTTACTATAAGACAGTTATCAAAATATAAATGGCTGCAGACTTATGGTACAGTCACAAGTGTGCTATTTTATTAACACATTATATACAAAGGTTTCGTGGCTGGTCTGGTAACTGTTGTAATTTTGAAGTGGTGCCGAGCTCAGAGATCTGTTAAGATCTGCAGGCGCTTACAGAGCCGTCACGTCCGCAGCTTGTGCTGGTGACTGCTGTGAGTGTCGTTACCCTTGCTGTGGTTGCTCGCCTGCATTTTATAATTAACGGAAATGATACATTTCAGCTAGAGGTTAGCGAACATGAAGGTCGAGCTTTCTTCCCTTGTAAACGCATGGGCCCCTTGAAATCTCGTCTGTGTTGAGGTGCTAGGAACGTATTTTTACTGGCAAGCGTAGGACTGTGTGGTCGAAGTCCCCTAGCAGGTACTTTTAAGTGTATCAAATGCTGCGGGAAGTACAGCTCTTCCATCGGTGATTTAAGTTTACACGTGAGTCTTCTTTCCCCCGGGATATAAAGGCCTGTATGGGATTCTCTCATAAAATGTCATGAAAATGACCCAAAGCTCGAGTGAGTCTCTGGCTCTCAGGAAGCACGTTTCAGGTCTGTTCCACTGTTGAAAAGACACGCAAACTCTGAAAAAGTCCAAAAAAATTGGAATTTCCATTTAAACGATGTGGCCCGGCCCTCCCAGAGGTGGCGTGAGTCGCCCGACCTCCCTGGCACATCTGGAAAAGGATCTGAGAAGTTTCATTAAAACGAGTAAGGGGACGATTTCCCCTCTGGGACACTCACACCACAAACCGGAGGTCAGTGAAAAGAAGGCCGGTAACAGTGGAGCGGCCGTGCGGCCTGCAGCCTGAACTGGGGACAGTCGCCGGGCCACCGAGTTCCCGCCGTGGCCGGTCACGGGCGCTGGGCTTGGAGGTGGCAGTGCCACCCATGCGCTTTCTTGGAAGAGGTGGGTGTTAGCCAGACGGGGGCCTGATGTCCCAGGACATCTGCACGTGGTGCGACGGGGCGAAGGAGGGGCTCCGGCCAGGCCAGGACGCGAGGGCAGCGGGGCCCGGTGTGATGATGGGAGAGGCCGACGGGACCTGGCTCGTGGGCGCCTCTGCTCTGGGGCTTGGATTTAGCCTGTGGGCAGGAAGGATCTTCTTTCAAATGTTTTTCTGAAATGGCAGCTTTCAGAGACATAGTTCCCACGCCACGGCGTTCACTCTTTTAAAGTCTGATCTCACGGAGGTGTGAGCCGTTACCACCGCTTCCACAGCACTTCGGCCACTGCCACGGGGGCTGCGTACTAGTCCCAGTCACTCCGTTGTCTCCTCCCTCCCAGCTCTGGCCGCCACCAGGCGCGCTCTACGGCTTTGCGTGTCCCGCACTTCCGTCTGAGTGGCGCTGGACAGAATGGGCCGTGGGTGTGGCCTCTCTGAAGGGTTTTAAACCGAGAGTGATAACAACCTAAGTTTTGCAACCTAGAAAGTTCAGTTCAGCGACAGTACGGAGGACAGGCTAGAGACGCGGGCCTCACGCGGGAAGCGTGCTGGTTGGCCGTGGGAGCTGGTCAGAGGCGGTGGCAGAGGCTGGCTGTCACTGGCACAGGAGGGGGCTGCCGGCCTCTGTCACAGACAGCTGTGATGGGGTGGCGGCGATGCCCCCCACTCGTTGGTCAGTACGAGGTGGCCGAGCCGCTGAGTAGCAGCAGGACCGGCCGTTCCACGGGACATTTGACTCTCCCGAAAGGCCAGAGCTTGCCCGGGCTCAGGGCGATCTCTGGGTGACAGATTTATCAGAATGTGTGTAGGGACACTGGGAAGTGGTGACTGTGCCCTTGGCTTTTGGAGCAGCATTTCCCACAGTGCGTCCCCGAGCACGTGTGTGAGGGGAGTGGTTGTGGGAGGGACCTTTGGTCACGTGACTGGGGACCGCCGCTAAGAGAACACAGGCGCACTGAAGACGCCGAGCTCCAAGCCCTGCAGGAAAGGAACCTTTAAAAATTCATTTAACCAGGGGCACCTGGGGGGCTTAGGCAGTTAAGCGTCTGACTTCGGCTAAGGTCATGATCTCAGGGTTTGAGCCCAGCGTCAGGCTCTGTGCTCACAGCTCAGCCTGTTTCAGATTCTGTGTCTCCCTCTCTCCCCGCCCCTCCCTCGCTCATGCCCTGTCTTTCTCAAAAATGTTAAAAAATAATCTTATAAAACAGATAAATAAAAATTCATTTAACCGGGGTTTCTAGCACTTCCTGAGCTGAGAGGCCCCTTGTCCATGTTGCTGTTCCTGGGGGCTCGGGGAGGGTCTGCCCTGGGAGGCGCCTGGGTCCGCATCCCAACCCCAGGCGGGACGGACCCCTGGCCAGAGCTGGTCTGGTGGCCGCTCATGCCCGGTGTTGGGTGGGGGGCCCGCAGTGTGCCGCCTCCTGGAGCAAGAGCGACAAGAGCACCACGAGCTGAAACACACGTGGCAGAGAGCCAATGACCAGTTCCTGGAGTCCCAGCGCCTGCTGATGCGGGACATGCAGCGCATGGAGGCGGTGCTCACATCCGAGCAGCTGCGGCGGGTGGAGGAGCTCAAGAAGAGGGACCAGGTGAGCCGCAGCTCGGGGGGGGGGGGGGGCGCGTCCCTGCTCCTCCCGCTCACGGCCCGGCCGCCCCCCCCCCGCAGGGGCCTTGGAGGGACCGGGACCTCTGGGCCCAGAGCGGCCTGAGCGACGCTCATCTCTGGGAAGCGCTCTGCGAAGACGGGTGTCTGCGACTCTGGCCGGGGCTCCCGGACCGGGTGTATCTGGGCCACGTGTGTGTGACGGCCTCGCTGGAAGGGGACGGGGTGGGGAGGGGGCGCTCAGTGATCTGAAAAGGCTGGAGTCCAGAGGGCCACACGCCCAACTTCCTGTTTTCTCCTTATCTTTTAGACGACATGAGTAATACACACATACAGCTCACGCCAGAGACATTTTGTGGCAAATACAAAGAGTGAGCCTGTCCCTGCTCACCTCCCTACTGGAATGGCCGTGTGCAGCCAGCCCCTGGGAGGCTGTCTCCCGGGTGTTCGTGGTTTTAGGGTGTCTTCGGGTCACGCAGGCAGCACAGCGTGAGCACCCCTCGGCCCCTGTCCTCCGCACGTGATCGGGGCACCACCTGCTCCCAGGAGACGGCTGTCGCTGTTGCTGACTGCCTGGACGGTGCCGGAGCGCACACGGCCCCTCCCTGGGTCGCTCGGGCGGCTCTGTCATCTTTGTTCCTTTGTCGTTTCCAGTGGTGGTGCGGCTGCTGCCCTGCACCACACTGTGCGTGGGCGCTCACGTGCCTCCCACCCCCGGGCAGCTGCGTAGGAGCCTTGCTAGGTGTTGGAAACAGGTTTAAACCACCCTGCATGACTTGGGTTGGATTTTGGTTTTCAGATGTTTCATCCTTTTTACGTTTCCTTTCATTCTGACTCAGCCCTCTGTTGTGTAGACCCGGCCCACCTGAGGGCTTAGATTCTGCAGACCTAACCGTGCCCTCCTGCCGCCCACTAAAACCGCCTGATGCCAAAACCGGCCCCTTAGGCCTTTACTAACACCTACGGAGGGTTTTCCGTGTGTCGGCGCTGCGCTCAGGCCGCATGTGGTGTCGCTAACAGAGCACACATACCCGGACTTTCTGATGGGGGGCGCTGATGGCAGGTCTCTAACTCCCTGCCTGGTCCGCACCCCTCTCATCCTGAGCTGTGTCTTCTCGGCCCCGGAGACTTCACGGCTGCCCTTCACGGCTGCCCGGTCCGCCTGTCTTCCCGGGACCCTTGCTGTCCGCTCTCACCCAGTCGGCAGGCTCCTGTCGCTGCTGCTTCTGTGGCCCAGTTCTGGGTCCTTCCGATGAGGTCGTTGTTTTGTGCCGTGGCACCTTGTCCGTCCTTGTCTGTGTTGTAATCGTGTGTCCCTCCCAAGAGGCCGCCTGGGGACACTGAGGTAGCCTGCTCGTGTTTGTGGAGCGCACGGTCACATCGGCTTCAGGCACTCCTGTGAGTTCTGCATAAATGTGTACGTGTTTCCGCCGGCCGTGTCCTGCCCTCAGTCTCCCTCACCTGTAGGTTTTCTCTCGAAGAAGAGAAAGGGCGGTTTGTTTCATGTTTCCCTGTTACTGTACACTCTTCTTGGAAGCTGTGTCCTGATTTGTCTTCATGACGGGCTTTCCCTCTCTGTGCCTAGAGTAGTGTAACATTTTGTTGTGACCTGATGTCCTTAAATGTGGTCACAAAACGCTTCAGTGTCCAGTTTCCCCATAAGGCTTTGCTCTTGTTCTGAGTGGTTCAAGAACTCAGTGGATCATGAGCTACAGGCCGCCTGGGTAACGGCTGTGTTTTCTCTCTACTTTCAGGAGGAAGATGAACAACAGAGATTTAGTAAGGGGAAGGACCATAAAAAAGCAGATGTCGAGGAGGAGGTGAAAGTGCCAGCGGCGTGCGCGTTAGCGCACGAGGAATCTGCAGCCCAGTTATCAAACGAAGAGGTACGGTGAGTCCTTCTGGTCACTGCGCACAGTGTGACCACGTGTACCCTCTCCCGGAGAGGATGTCCGCAGCTACTCTACTCGCAGGGCCTTCAGCAGGCGTTTGGGAGGTCATGGGCAGTGGCCCTGGAGATGGCTGGTGGCTTCTGCTGCCACCAGCTCTGAAGTGATCAGGCGTTTTCCCCGTGGTTCCAAAATGAACACAGTAGGAGAAAATCTTTAAATGATAAAACCTGTAAGATCTTTCCGAGTATGAATATGAAAAGTTGCTAATACTTTGAGCTTGTTCTTTAGAAGAGACGATGTGAGGCATTCCAACACTGAACCCCGTGCGAGCACATCCCAGGCCTTCGGTTGTGACAACAGCGGGGACGGGGGGAGGCTGGGGCCGGAGTCTGGAGGTGGGCGGGGCGTTCCCAGGGCCTCGGGGCCGTGCGCGCATGCGCAGCGATGCGCACGCACCCTTCCCCTCAGCGTGGCCTCCGGGCCGTGTCCGCCTACAGGCACCCACACGCGCACACATCCTTCCCTCGCGGTGTGGCCTCAGCTGTGGGCGCGCCTGCGGGCGCGTGCACACACACACACGCGCACACACACACACTCACACACTCCCACCCCTTGCCTACTCAGGTGGCCAGTTGGTGGTCTGTCCACCTGCTGCCGCCTCCACGCTCCTGGCGGATCCTGCTCGGCTGCCACAGCCCCTGGTCATCCACGCGGTCCCGGCCACAGTCGCCGTCCCGTCGTGTGCGCCTGGTGTTCAGGCTCCCTCTCCTGGGGTGCTGCCTGGCCCCCCCGACTCTCGGTCTCAGCAGGGCACAGGCTTCTGTTCCGCCCCAGGGTAAAAGTGAAGCCCCTGGCCGGGCCCGGAAGAGCAGTCACGGCCAGGTGACCTTGGTGCCCCCACGACCCGTGCCGCGTCCGTGCCCCCGGACCTTGTTCGTACTGCCCCCGTCCTTCCTTTCCAGCCTGTGACATGGGGACGGCGTGGGTCTCGTGTGGGTCGTGTGCAGCTTCATACGACCACGTGTCCTCGGCCTCCTCGTGGCTTCTGTCTCCCGTGTTTACAGATCGCTCATCGTTTTTTCAAGTGAAACGTCCTAAGGGACTCTGGGAAGTGTGACGTAATTGCTGTGTCACAGTCTTTGTTCCGGGATGTGCACGGAGACCCGACTGGCCCGATTCTGCTGAGCGCTTTGCACCAGCCGCCTCGCGGGAGACTGGTCGTTTTCGGGTCCTGCCGCGTGTTGCGTGGGTTCCGTGGCGGGGACGTGGGCAGGGTTTCGGGAAAATGGGAAAGGGAGATTGGCTCTCGTTTTCAGGGAAGCGTTTTAAACGTTCTCTGAGTGCGTGTCTGCTGGTCTGTAATGTGTATTGTGCTTGGCGTTATTTCCTGACGTTTCCCGTACCTCAGACTTCAGGGGCTGAGGTTGTGCAGCTTGAGTGCTGAGTGCACCCGTGTTGAGTCGTGAAGGCTCCCATTCGCCTGATGACGTAAAGGTGGCAGGCGCCGCTTTGAGCGACAGCAGTTTCTAGCCGAGGACCGAGGACGGTCAGAGGTTGTAGCCCTCCGGTCGCAGTCGCGGGCTTAGAGCGTCCTGTTCCCCGAAGGCAGCGCGTGCTCCCCCGGAGGGACCAGAGGCGCCCGGGCGTGCTGCTGCGTGCCCCTCCCGTCCTTTCCAAAGTGAACGTGTTTCTGTTTTCACTTTTTTTTAATTTTTTAATTTTAATTTTTATTTTATTATTTTTTTTAATGTTTTATTTATTTCTAGGAGACAGAGACAGCGTGAGCAGGGGAGGGTCAGAGAGAGAGGGAGTCACAGACCGAAACAGGCTCCAGGCTCTGAGCTGGCAGTCAGCACAGAGCCCGACGCGGGGCTCGAACCCACGAACCGCGAGATCATGACCTAAGCGAAAGTCGGAAAGTCGGACGCTTAACCGACTAAGCCACCCAGGCACCTCTCTGTTTTCACTTTTAAAACGTGACCCATATTGCAACCAGACGTAACGTTCATGTAAAATTTTTCCACCTGAATCTGTCTGAAAGTCGCGGCGCGTCACACCGTGAATGTTTGCCCACAGCCGGCACTTCGCGGCGGGCACCGTGCCCGTGGTTTCTTATGACCCTGTTCATGGACTCGTGCCCAGGTTGGAGGGTCAGCGCCATGGAAAGGAAAGTTTACCGTGATGGTGTCTAGGGACTAACACGCACACTAGGTAGAGCCCCCGAGATGCACCCGAGTCGGTCGTGAGGCAGCAGGACGGGGGTGGCGTGGGCACAGTCCTGGGCCACCGCTGCCGACAGTCCTGAGGGCGGGAGGGCGGCTGGCGTGAACAGCCCAGCGGGTTGGGGTGGAGTGTGACCTCCGCCCGGGTACCTGGCCCTGTGCGGAGCCAGGGCGAGGGGGCAGCTCGGGCTCCGAGTGGCGAGGGGCGCGCGCACGGGCGTGGGAAGCGAAGCTGGACGCGGCCTGGGCGGGTGTATGTGAGAGCCGTGTGCGCAGGCGGGTGCGTATTGACCGGAGGGACCAGGGAGCCTGGAGGAGCTGGCTGGCCCTCACACGGCAAAGCGTCATGAAGTGTAGAGACTCAGAGGCAGGATCCACAACCCGATGGTCACAGTGGTTCTGTCTTTCACTCGCCTGGGAGCTTTGATCACTCCAAGTGACGCCCCTCTGCTGGTCATAGAATTCTTCCCTGGACACAAATCACTGCAGACTTACCCGATGCCCTCGGGGAAAGAGCGGCCGAGTTTAAGGGCACAAGCATTTGTAAAGTACCAGAACATGCTGAGTCAGCTTCCAGAAGTACCGTGCAGCCCATCCCCCCCCCCATATTGCTGTGTTGTCACCAGCACGGGGGCTGCCTTGGCTTAAATGGCCCTCACCTTGCCTGCGCGGTCCCTTGTCCTCCTCCGTGTCACAGCCGTGTCACAGTCGCACTGCATGTGGCCAGTGAGGTGCGAGGCTGCTTTATAAGGTAACAGACTGGACCCTGGGACCCTGACCAAAGCCACCTGAGGTGTGCTGTGTTCCTCCAGCAGCTGCTCTCATCCATGAAAAAAAATCTAAATTTAAAGAGAAAGCTCAGGTCAGATCTCACGGTTCATGGGTTCGAGCCCCGTGTCGGGCTCTGTGCTGACAGCTCAGAGCCTGGAGCCTGTTTCAGATTCTGTGTCTTCCTCTCTCTCTGCCCCTCCCCCGCTCATGCTGTGTCTGTCTCAAAAATAAACTATAAAAATTTTTTTTTTAAATAAAGAGAAAAAATGGAGAAATTAATAAAAATTTGTTAATTTTTTACCATGTAAGGATATTTTTAAAGTATTCAAAAGTTTTATATTTCACAGTTTTCACCAGTTCACAAAAGAAAGGGTACTTGGGGCACCTGGGTGGCTCAGTTGGTTGAGCATCCAATTTTGGCTCAGGTCATGATCTCAGAGTTCATGCATTTGAGCCCCGTGTCGGCCCTGCTGACAGCGCAGAGCCCGATTCAGATCCTCTGTTCTCCCCCACCCCGTCTCTTCCCCTATTCTCGTGCATTCTGTCTCAAAATAAGTAAATAAACTTAAAACAGGCATTTAACAACGAAAAGTAGACAGGATGTTATGTTAAAATAAAGGCTAGTCCTTAAAACCAAATACATTGAATATCAAGAAAAGCTTGCTATGTGTTCTTGTGTTCTGATCCCCAGTAACCGTGTGGCTGCATCTGGAACAGCACCTGGGGCCCAGGCAGTTTTTAATTGAGGTGGAATCTACACGTTGTAAAATTAGCCGTTTAAAGTGTGTGATTCAGTGGCACTTGAGTACACATACTGTGTCGTGCAAGCACCACCTTTGTCTGGTTTCAAAACATTGTCCTCCCCCAGAGGAGGCCCCGCGCCCACTAAGGAGCACTGCCCAGCATCCTTCCCCTCGGCCTTTGGCAACCTCTGATTGGCTTTTCCGTCTTTACGGAGTCACCGCTCTGGATGTTTCACGCCGATGGGGACACACAGCGTGGTACCTTTTGCGTCTTGGCTCCTTTCGCTCCGTGCACCCCATTTTACGTGTTGATCACACCTTCCAGCATGTGGAACTTTCCTCGTTTCCCTCCTACTTAGGCTCCTCCTTCCTCCTTCCATCCCCAAAATGGACAGATCTGGTGTTTCTCCGAGGGGTTCTGATTTGCTGCTGACACTTTATCATTATGTGGTGGTCACTGTCAGGCCTCTGTCTAAAAACTTGTCTACTGGTTGGTACCTCCGTGTGGATATACAGCAAGCACCTACGCTCAGCACGCCTGACACTGAACTTCAAGGAACCCTTCCCTGACCCCTTACGTCTGGGCCGAAGCCCACCCTTGAGCCCCCAGAACATTTCAGTACAGACTTCTAACCTGTTATTGAATTACGTAGGGCGTTCTAATAGCCTTGTTAATTTTTGTCATGAAACTGTAAACATCTTGAGGTGAGGGTTGCTCCGCACCCTGAGTGCCGGGCTTAGCGCCTGGCGTATACAGGACTCTCAGGAAACGTTCAGTGGGCATGTGAGGCGTGTGCCGACAGTCGCCCTACCTGGTGTGTGGCTGAACGCTTGTAAGATACGGTCGTTTTTCTCTTTGGAATCTAGAGAATCGTCTAACTCGGTGCCGTGCGTTCTCCCGTTTCAGGAGCACCGAGGTAGCACCCACGGCTCAGTGCACTCCCTGGACGCGGACCTGTTGTTGCCGTCCGGGGACCCGTTCGCCAGATCGGACAGTGACGTGTTCAAAGACGGACTCAGGAGAGCACAGTCCACGGACAGCCTTGGGCCCTCGGGCTCGCTGCAGTCCAAAGCTTTGGGCTACAACTGCAAGGCCAAGTCTGCCGGAAACCTGGACGAGTCGGATTTTGGGCCGTTGGTGGGAGCAGACTCGGTGTCTGAGAACTTCGACACCGCTTCCCTTGGGTCGCTGCAGATGCCAGGCGGGTTCATGTTAACCAAAGACCAGGAGAGAGCGATCAAGGCCATGACGCCAGAGCAAGAAGAGACGGCGTCTCTCCTGTCCAGCGTCACCCAGGGTGTGGAGACTGCGTACGTGTCCCCCAGCGGCTACCGCTTAGTCAGCGAGACGGAGTGGGACCTCCTGCAGAAGGAGGTGAGCCGCTCTCGGACTTCTGCCCTCTTACCCCCCTGGGGGCCGGCCGGTGGCTCCGGGGTTAGTGCTCACTCGAGAGACAGCCCGGGGCCGCTGCGCGTGCGTCCTCAGGCTGCCACGCCGAGCTCCTGCGCACCCGGTGACCATGGTGTCCCCGCTGAAGCGGGGGGCGCAGCCCGTTTGACGGTGGCACACCCTGGATTTGCTTTGCTTGGCGGCTGCTCTCCCCTCACGTGCCATCAGCAGTTGACGCTGCGCGTGCGCTTGTGGAGGGGGTGGCAGATAGGGGAGGGGTTAATATTCTTCCTGAGAGCTTTTGCCAACTTAGACGTCCGTTGGGAGATGGAACTGTCCCTGCGCATTTGCGCGCGGCCTTGCAGGTGACGGGGCCGTCCTGGACCCCATCAACTAGAGCTTCGGGTGGTGACGACCTTGTCCCAGTCTGCGGGCGAGGGTGGGTCTCAGGCACCAGATTCGCCTGGGTTTCTCCTCCGTGTAGAGACATGGGTCGGGGACCAGGTGTTCAGATTTCTAGCACTTTCTTTTCTCGGGGCCGTGTCTCTTTAAGCAGCTGTTGACCCGTGAGTGGGTCCGCTGACTAAGCCTGATGGAAAGTGTTCCCTACGGTCTCGTGCGGAACACGTGTGAGAGAGGGGGTGCAGGGGTGGTACGTGGCGGGGCTGCCTGTGCGAGGCAAGGCGGGTGGGAGCGAGGGGGTGCTGGTCCCTCCCCGCTCCCACCCCCCTGCGCCCCTGCTTAGACTGGGAGCCGCCGGGCCTGCCTCTTGCCTTTCGATCGCCTCAAACGCGGTGTTTGTGGCCCTCGGCCGCCCGGTGGTTAGGTGGGCCCCTTGTTGTCCCATCAAACCCATACTGGGGAGTCCGCCCTGTCCCGTCACTTCTCGTGGTCTCTGTGGAAGCCATACCCTCCCGCCCCCGTCCCGAACACGGGTCAGGCTGTGCACGCGGTCATGGTCATGCATGTGACGCGGAAGCATCTCGTTCTGCCTGGTAAGACGTCATTCTGGTGCCTGCAGGTACATAACGCCGGAAACAAACTCGGCAGACGCTGTGACATGTGTTCCAACTACGAGAAACAGCTGCAGGGGCTTCAGACTCAGGAGGCTGAGACGCGAGACCAGGTGAGTGCGCTCGGCCGGCCGCGAGCTGTAGTTTTCGCCGGAGGCGCAGAGGGGGTGCCTTTTCCCTTCCACTTGCTCTCTGAAGCGCATCCGCGTCACGTGTGCCGTGACCCCGTGCGTGCAGCGTCACTTAGTTTCCAGTGGAAGCACACTGGAGCCCAGCTGGCGCAGCCCGTGGTGGCAGGGGTGCCCGCGGCACATGCACGCCCGACGTGGCCGCTGTCGGTGTGCACACGAGCGTGCTTCCCGATGTGGGGGAGGAGGGAGGTGTAGCCGCTTCTAACGGGGTCTCATCCCTGCCGCCGTAGGGCGTCTTCATTGCCTACTGCCTGCCCCTCGTGAGAAATGTGTGAATTGGTTAAGGTTAGTTTATGGGGTGACAGAAAGAAAGACTCGGCCGACCTGGTGCAGGGATTGACGAGCGCCTGTCCGAATAAGGCGTCTCATCACGACTCGTCAGAACCATTCAGGAAGCAGGACCTGGGGACAGAAGGCTTGTCAGAGTCCACAGGAGGGGAAGAGGGGTCCTTCCAGTCCCTTCCACGGTCCCCTCAGTAGGCAGTGTGCCGGCGCTTTGTGCAGGTGCCTTGCCGGTTCTGGGTACTCCGGTCCCGGTGGGCACGGCAGAACTGGGGGGAGTGGAGGGGGCGTATGCCGTACAGGAAGGGGTGAGGTCCTGGAGGGACTGGGTAGGAGCGGAAGCGAGTTCAGGGGAACTGTACCTTGAACACTTTGGGCCGAGTTTGGAAATTCCAAGGAGGGAAGTGATGTGTTGACTTTTACTTTAGACAGAACTCGTAGCGTTCGTGCAGGTTGCAGAGGGAAGGCCGAGGATGGACCAGAGCGAGGGGCCGGGGCCCTGGCCTGAGGGACCCAGGAAGGGACCGCGCACGTGCAGAGTGACTCGTTAGCCGTACCTCACGTGGGGTCCTTCATTCTGAATTGACAAGCCTGTGCTGTTTCTCAGGAAGAAAAAAGAGATTTAAAAAATGTTCTGGAGCGAGGGATTGTTTTTACGTTGATGAAAGAATTCCATTGCTTGCTTCTGGCATTTGAAACGGCGCAGGTGAAGAAGCTGCAGGCGATGCTGAGACAGGCCAACGACCAGCTGGAGAGGACGCTGAGGGAGCGGCACGGGCTGGAGGCGGCGCTGAGGCGCAGCGCGGAGGACACCAGCCTGCAGGTGCGCGGCTCCCGTCCTGTCCCCGGGCCCGGAGGCTCCTCCCCCGCAGAGCGGGGGCTCTCGCTGACCCGTGTCTGCTGCCGCCCTACGGCTCTCTTGGGAAGGAGTGGATACGTACGGGGTCTTGGCAGTAGCTGCTTAACGGGCGTCGTCAGGCTCCCGTCCTCCTTCCCCTTTGATTTTTATTAGTTTTTTCTGCGGCGCAAAACTCCTTCCTGACGGGAATTGTGCTCTCGCTTCTGGAATGTGTACAAATAGAAAACTCAGACACAGATGCAGCACACACACCAGAGCTAGCTCCGTGTGAGCACTGCCCGGGTCACGGGCCGGAGCCTGAGCCAGGCCCCCCGGGTGAGAACCCCGGCCTAATCGGGGACGCCGTCGGCCTGGTGCTGTGCCCCCGTCCCTGCCCCTCCACGCGCATCCTGAGAGGCTGGCCCGGTGCCTGTAGCCGCACCTTGTGCGCCGTCCCCGTGCCCCTGTGCAGCTGCGGCCGTCTGTCCGTCCTGATGAGCGCCGGGGCAGGTTCCGGCCCTGGGCAGTTAGGAATGACTGTTCTCTGAATGTCTGCATAGGGCTTGTGGCGTGTGCTCCTGCGGCGTAGGCGCCAGGACGGGCGGCCAGGGTCCCTGTTGAGAATGTGTTCACCCCAGTAGGTGAAGACGCCAGGGCTCCCCAGCTGGCAGTGTCGCACGGGAGCCATTCTGGGCACAGACTTCATTCCGTTATTGTAACTGCAGCCGGTGTGTGGGGCGCCGGGGCTTAGTTTGTGTTTCTCCGATGAGCGCCGAGGTGACTTCGTGTTTCTCGTGTTTATCGGCCACGGAGGCGTCAGTGTGTGTGTGTGTGTGTGTGTGTGTGTGTGTGTGTGAGAGAGAGAGAGAGAGAGACAGGGAGAGAGAGAGGGAGAGTCCTTAAGACTTAGGCTGATTTTTCTATTGGATCGTCTAGTTTCTATTTATTTTTGCTTATTTGTTTTATTTTGCTTATTGTTAATTTTTATTTTTATTTTATTTTTCTGATTTGTTAGATGCGTAATCTTCGTAGAGCCTTTTGGTGATATGTGGGACAAATGTTTTCTTATCAGTACTTTATGTTCTCGTTATTTTAATGGTGTCTTTTTGAACAGAAGTTCTTAACTTTCACATAGTCAAATTTATTGATCTTTGTTTTAAAATTTCTTTTGAGAGAGACAGAGAGAGCATGAATAGGGGAGGGCCAGAGAGACAGAGAATCCGAAGCAGGCTCTGCCCTGTCAGTTCAGAGCCTGACATGGGGCCCAAACCCACGAACTGTGAGATCATGACCTGAGCCGAAATAAATCAAGAGTCGGACGCTTAACTGACTGAGCCACTCAGGTGCCCCCATTGATCTTTTCTTTATGATTGGTGATGTTTGTTCTGCGTGCGTGTGGTTTTTCTTAAAGAATGTCTTCTTGCTCTGGGATTAGAAACGTATTTTCATACCTATTCAGTATATAGTCATATTTATATCTAAAAATCCACCTAGAACTGACTTTGATGTATATACTGTAGATAAGGTAAAGTTTTCATTCTTTCACAGGGATCACCAGTTCCTGTATACTTAGGGAGAGAGTCACCTTTTTCCTGCTTCTCTCCAAGGTCACCTGTCATTTGTCAAGTGACTGCTTGTGGGGGGTCAGGGTCCAGACTCTGTTCTCTTCGATTGGTGCCAAGTTCTATGCTGTAATTTACAGTAAATTTTTCACGTGCTGCTTTTTAATAGGTTTTATTTTCCTGCTGAGAACTATGTTTTCATTCATTTCAAAGCATTTACGGTTTCCTCGCGCAGCAGTCCAGTACCCGCGCCACGGCCTCTGATGCCTCCCGCACGTCCTGGGGTTGCTGTCTGTGCGGCTCCTTCTCCCTGGAGAACAGGTCACATCTTCCTGACTCTGTGTCAGGTGCTTAGACTGTGTCCTGGGAACTGGGGAAATGATGTTCTGTTCATCTGCTTAAGTTCACTCAGCGGCTTGTGGCTTTGCCTCCCGTGAATGGTGCTTTAATACCAGTTTTTTTTTAGTCTTTGCAAAGCATTTGGACGTGTTCTTCTGAGTAGCGCAGGGGTGGGTGTGAGACCCGTGCCGAGCCCTTGCTTGCGTCCTCCTCCCCGAGAATGCATCCCTGCTCTTGGGCTAGACGTACAGTAAAGTATAGAGATTTCAAGTGTAAAATTTAGTGAATTTTAACGTGTGAAAAAATGTAACCAGGTGATCATCACCTGGATCAAGATGCAGAACCTTCTAACGATGCTCAGCATCCCTCCTCATCAGGGAAATACACATCAAAACCACACTGAGATACCACCTCACGCCGGTCAGAGTGGCTAAAATGAGCAAATCAGAGAACTCTAGATGCTGGTGAGGATGTGGAGAAACGGGCACCCTCCTACACTGTAAGTGGGAATGAAAACGGGTGCAGCCCCTCTGGAAAACAGTGTGGAGGTTCCTCAAAAAATTAATAGAACTCCCCTATGACCCAGCAATAGCACTGCTAGGGATTTACCCAAGAGACACAGGAGTGCTGATGCATAGGGGCACATGTACCCCAGTGTTCATAGCAGCACGCTCAACAATAGCCAAGTCACGGAAAGAGCCTGAGTGTCCATCAACTGATGAATGGATGAAGGTGTGGTTTATCTATACGATGGAATACTCCATGGCAATGAGAAAGAATGAAATCTGCCACGTGTAGCAACATGGATGGACCTTGAGGGTGTTATGCTGAGTGAAATAAGCCAGGCAGAGAAGGACAGATACCATATGTTTGCACGTGTAGGAGGATTAGGTGGAACTTAACGGAGGACCGTGGGGGAGAAGAAGGGGGAAA